GACACGTGCTCCTCGTTTGCTGTCCCCACCGTGAGCCCCTGTTTTGCCTCAGTGATTCGGGTCCTTAATCCAGCCAGGTTATCTGCTGGGAGTTGAAGACTTCTAAATCTACGTGAGGGTTCTAGCTAGTGGTGTTATACGTTTCTCTGGGCATCTCTGTTTTATTCCAGGCAAACGCAAAAACACCAGTTAATCAGATACAGATATTTATTTAATCCACAGTGGCTGCAGAGCACAGTGTCAGATGCTTGGGAGGTTGAGGAGGCTGGAGCTGTGACACCTGCCTTCTAGGAGCTCGGGAACTCCTGGACCAGAGAAGTATGTTGGTGCCCAAGGGTTGGGGGTTGAGGGGGGTCTTGTCGACATGGAGATGTGAGTGCATGTGTGTGCACACGCATGTGGTGGTGAGGCTGGCGACACACGCAGTCCCACATTCTCAGGGGCAAGTGATCTGGAAAGCTGGTCCAGGAGGAGGCCTTGAGACGGGCCTGCATCGGTGTTGAGGGGATAGTGATGGTTATGAGTGAAAGTGACTTTTGCCTGTAGAGACGGTGCTCTGAGGGGAGCTGGTTAAAACAGATGAACACACAAGATAAACAAGCAGTTTTTTCACATTCTTCCAAAAATCCAGCCAAAAAATTGTTAATGTTTTCCCTTTCCAGTGGAAGAAATCAGCCTCCCAGTTCTGGGTGACTGACAATCAGAGTGTCTCTAACAGAGCTTTTGCTCCCAGAACTTCTGGTCTGTGGTGCTTGGTTGGCTGGGAGATGGCCATCTGCTTTCTCAGGGCCTCAAACATCCCTCCCATTCCTATCTTTAGACCCATCCAATCTCTGGTCCCCAGAGGCAGTGGGGACCCGTCTTCTGCTCTGCAGAATAAATGGGGAATGTGGGGACAGCTTCAGAATTCCACTGAGCTCCCCAGGTTTGGGAAGTCCAAGTCCATGCCTGCATCTGTGGTTGCTGTGGTCACCTCTCACAGAGGTCTGGGGGGTGACTTCCCCTGGAGGGATGCAGTCTCTCTCCCCTGGAGGCCCGTGGGCAGTGCTTGGGGCCAGTGGCCGTCAGGAGGCCGCCGCCGTTTCCCCACCTCTGCCAGCCAGCCTCAAGAGGGCTTTGTTACTACTTTGGAAAAACACACGATCTATGAGCCGCCTCTCAGAATACCCCCTTGAGCCCAGAGCCTCTGTGGGACGCAGACACGGGGGTGGCACCGTCCTGTAGCTGGGCGGCGTCGGTGTGGGACGCAGACACGGGGGTGGCACCGTCCTGTAGCTGGGCGGCGTCGGTGTGGGACGCAGACACGGGGGTGGCACCGTCCTGTAGCTGGGCGGCGTCGGTGTGGGACGCAGACACGGGGGTGGCACCGTCCTGTAGCTGGGCGGCGTCGGTGTGGGACGCAGACACGGGGGTGGCACCGTCCTGTAGCTGGGCGGCGTCGGTGTGGGACGCAGACACGGGGGTGGCACCGTCCTGTAGCTGGGCGGCGTCGGTGTGGGACGCAGACACGGGGGTGGCACCGTCCTGTAGCTGGGCGGCGTCGGTGGCCTGCGGGCTCACCTCGAAAAGCCTACGGGTCTGGCTATAGTTCTTCTATGGGCCGCCTCTCAGAATCCCCCCTTGAGCCCAGAGCCTCTGTGGGACGCAGACATGGGGGTGGCACCGTCCTGTAGCTGGGCGGCGTCGGTGTGGGACGCAGACACGGGGGTGGCACCGTCCTGTAGCTGGGCGGCGTCGGTGGCCTGCGGGCTCACCTCGAAAAGCCTACGGGTCTGGCTATAGTTCTTCCATCTCCACTGCCCTCGCTGAGCCACCCCCTCCGCACGGGCAGCCCCCTTCAGCCCCGTGGGCTCCTGGCAGAAAGCGGCCCCTGCCTGCAAGGCCCTGGCAGCTCCTGCAGCTCCTGCAGGAAGGCCGAGCCCTCCCCATGCCCTCGTGTCTGCCTGACCTACCCGGCTTGCTCCAGCCATGGAGCTCTGCCCACCTTGGTCCCGGAGCCCCAGTGACCAGGCACCTCCCTCCCTCTGCAGGTCCAGCTCCCCAGCCTGCAGGTCCTCGCCAGCCCTGCGTGGGCCAGCCCGTTCCTTAGGTGCCGCTTCTCTGGGGCCTCTGCCTGTGGCACGGGACTGCTGCCCCTCCTTCCTGCTGTCCTCGTAGCCTGTCCACTGTGGCCCACGTCACAGTTAGAGGTGAATAATTTGCGTGTGCTTAGCGCTGTGGGGCCGTCTGCCCCGTGAGCTGGAAGCCCCTGAGAGCGGAGCCGCTGTTGTCCGTCTTTGCCCCGAGTGCACGTCCCACGGCTGTGCTGCCTGTTGGTCCAGCGGGACGTTAGAGCAGGGCCGTGTCCGGGGGTCAGGGGGCAGCACAGAGCAGCATGCATGGGGACGAGTCCACTCACTGGAGAGGGAAGGGGCCTCACAGACTCACTGTGGACACGGGACCGGACATGCTCAGAGGTGTGCTGACGAGAGTGTACGCCGTCCTGCAGTGGACGCAGAGAAGAGAGTAATGAAGTTGCTTGTTGAGGAGTAAGTGAGGGAACCAGGTTTCTGGGACAGAGGCATTAGAAACATGTTTCTGGGGTGAGTTTAGAGGTTGAAAGAGCAGCTTCCTTGTTCTTGCGGTGAGTTTGGCAGTTAAACAAGTGTTAGAGGCTGTGTGTTTCTATACACACAGACATACATGTGGACACCAGTGCACACACATACACATAAACGTGTACGTACACAGTAGACACGTACACACCCATACACACATGGAGGTAGACACATACGTACACAGTACATGTACACATCTACACACATTCACATACATATACACAACACACATCTACACATGCCTACACACATTTGCAGGCATGAAAACACACATATGTAGACACACAGTACATAGCACACACATGCGCGTACACTTATACCTTGGTGTCCTTTAAATATGGTGGTAATAATGAACGACATTATTGAAAAATGCATTGGGTAAAACAATAATGAGCACAGCACACCTACTAGAACAGCCAAAATCCAGACGCTGACAACACCAAACACTGGAGAGGAGCAACAGGGACCCTCACTTCTGGTGGGGACGCACATGGGGTGGCCACTGGGGACGAAAGCTTGGTGGTCAATTACAAAACTAGACAGACTCCTACCATAGGATCCAGCAGCTGTGCTCCTTGGCATTTACCCAGAGGAGCTGAAAACATGTCCACACAAAAACCTGCATATGGATGTTTATAGCAGCTTTATTCATAGCCGCCCAAACCTGGAAGCAACCAAGATGTCCTTGGGTAGGTGAATGGGTAAATAAACGGTGGTGCATCCAGGCAATGGAATAGTATTCAGTGTTAATAAGAAATGGCTGTCGAGCCTCAAAAAGACATGGAGGAACCTGAAATGAATATGACTGAGTGAAAGAAGCCAGTCTGAGCAGGCTGTATTCTGTATGATTCCAACCATATGACATTCTGGACAAGGCAAATTTACGGAGACAGTGAAAAACATCACTGGTTGCTGGCGTCAGGGAGGAGGGAGGGATCAACAGGTGGGGCACAGGGTATGCTAGGGCAGTGAGAATACTCTGTATGACACTGTGATAGTGGATACATGTCAGTGTACGTTTGTTCAGGCCCATAGAAGTACGGCACCAAGAGTGAACCCTAACATGAACTATGGGTTCCGTACCCGTATGCTGATGGCGTGTCAATGTAGCTTCGTCAGCTGTAACAAATGCGCCATTTGATGGGAATGTTGATAATGGGGAGGCTGTGCCTACACGGGGGCAGAACGTTTGTGGGGAATCTGTGTACCTTCCTCTTAATTTTTCTGTGAACCCAACACTGCTCTGAAAAATAAAGTTTATTAATTAAAAGAAGCTACTGGGGACAGTGTCTCTACCTCATGAGCATGGCTAGAGTCTAGCGGTGAAGACGTCCAGGGTTAGCTTTCAAACGATCCAAACAATTAAATTATTAGCTATCACGAATTCTAAAAGCACAAACAGTATTATGTATTACATTATCTATAGTCTAAATATATGTTTAAAAGAAAGGTTTCAAGAAAATCTGATGAATATTTGTCTTAGCATATATTTACAACGTTGTACACCACAAACCAGATTTAAAGAATGAAGCCGTCACACTGCAGAAGGGAGAGAATTTACCTGGAACGCTCCAGAACCGCGAGGAAATGTCCTTGCCCGCATTCTCCTCTGTGACAGCCTGAGCGGTGGGGTGTTCCCTGCGGGAAGTGGCTCTCAGACACGTCCCCGGAAGCGGGGCTACCCGCAGGCGTTTAGCTGGTCGCTGATACGGACCTGACTCCTCTGCCTGCCACTCAGCTCAGCTACTGATCCCTGCCCGAGGCCGAGGTCCCTACGCTCCAGCCTCGGTTTTCTCGTCTTCGAAACGTTGGGTTGGACCGTTTTAATGCTCCTTCCATTCCCTGGTTTCCAGATATTTCCACTTGAAGAGGGGCATGGAGGTTCCGGTGCATCCTGGCGAGTTCTCACTCTTGTCTCCTTGCCCCACGCCCCAAGCACACCACCCACTGGCGTGGACTTCTTTGCATGAAACGGACTCAGAGAACAGGGACACTTATCGTCTGTGTTCCAGCCGAGCAGACCGTCCATCTTGCTGGGGGGTGGCAGTGGGGAGGAGACCCTCCGTCCGAGACAACTGTCCCCGGATCACTGGTGGCAGGTGGGTTAATTTCAGCGGCGCTCACCGAGGGCGGGGCAGAGGCTGAAGGTTGAACTCACATGGCCGCCGTCTGCCTGCTCCCAGCAGCCCAGCAGCCCGGCAGGTCGCCTCCTGGACTCTCTGGGCTTTGCAGAGGCCCACAGAAATCCGGGAGGTGCTTGTGAAAGGACACTTACGATGATTGTCTGCTGCTCGCGCAGGGCGTCCGCCTTAAGCACATGTGGAATATGCAAGCAGCAATTACTGATCAGCCTGGTGCTGGGTGCTTCTGCTAATTAAACTGGTTGCATTTGAAAGGCAGTGAATGGAGGCGCTTTCCCCCTGCGCCCAGCCTGACGCTGTAGATGCCACCCTGGGTGAGGCCCTGGGTCCTGAATTAGCCTTTTGTACCCAAGGCGGTGATTTGAATGTTTGAACCCCCATAGGAAACTTGTCTCAAAGTGAACAATTCACTGAATAAAGACTAATTAGGGTCTAAGTTAATTAGAAGGTGCGGTTTGAAAAGATGTTGATGAGCAGAGTCTGTCATTTCAGACAAATAGGACAGAGCAGGACAATGGGTCCCCGTTAACATCTCACTGTTCCTGGAGCCCCGCTTCTTCACCGCGTCCTGAGGAGGCCCCTGGAAGCCAGCCCCGCCGGGGCTCCACGGCCCCGCCACCAGCGCCTCCTGCATCCGGGCACTTATGTTCCTAGGCGTCCCGTTTCTCACCTGGAAGACCGGCGCTGAAGACTATTGACCTTTGGTCACTGGACAGGCAGGAGCAAAGCTTCACATCGAAAGTGTGAAAGTCTCCGCTGGCAAATGACAGAAAGGCGGGGGCTGGGCAGGGAGGGCTGGAAAGTAGACTAAAAACCCAAACTACGCTGGACTCAGCCTTTGCATCTGTGGTTTCCACAAAGCCCTGCTTTTCCCCTAAAACACCGTCACTTTACAAGTGCTTCTGATCCTGGCAGCTCCTCGGAGCCTCGCCGCCGGCCGTGGCCAGGGCTTCCTGGCCGTCTGTCTGTCTCCTCACTTACCTGACCTGCCTCCCTTTGTTACAGACGGAGCGTTTGGACGGTGTCAGGAGCTTCCAGCCGTAGACGTGCACCACTACGAAGTGTCGCCAGGGGTCCTGCAGCACCTGACAGCCACCCTGAGGGCACTCTCCCGCACAGGTATGCAGGCCGGGGCCCAGTCCGCGCCCTGCTGCTGGGCCAGCGGCCGCTACGGCGCCAAGTGCTTGGAAGACATGTTGCTTCTTCTTAAAAGCCCTTGGCCTCTTAGGTGGTGAGGAGTTAGAAAAGGGCCGCGCCAGCCAGCGTGCGATGGGCAGAGGCAGGCGGCCTGGGTCCCTCCTGGGTTCGAGGTGGTCCCGGCAGCCGTGGCTGGCGCTGCCGGTCAGTGAGGGTGGGGGGGGTGGCCGCGTGTGTCGCTGCAAAACGGCCGCACCGCCAGAGCCCTGTTCCTAGTGTCCCAGCCCAGCCGCCCGGCTGCTCAGTGGCCCATGGGCAAGCGTGCAGTCTTGAATGAGTCCCGGGAGCAGGCCAGGCACAGCCTCCCCAGGGAGAGGCGTTTTCTGCAGAGGATGAATCCTGAGGGTCTGCGCTGTGATTCACCTGCCGCGGCCTTCCCGGGCTCCTGCAGCATCGGGTCTGCCGTGGACCCTCCGAGCGCAGGCGTCTCCCCTGGGCACATGGGACCGTGGCTGCCTCCTGCCCACAGTGTCCTCAGTGTACCGGTGTTCCCTGCACGAGGCCCGTGAGAGGAAAGGCGATCGGGGCCCCAGAGCCCCGGACGGCGCCGAGGGCTGGAGTGCTGACACGTGGCGCTGTGGCTGGCCTGGCCCGTGAGAGCGGGCTTCCTCTGATGACTGCTCCCGCGGGCGGGGGAGCAGGTGCTGTGGGCTGTGCCACTCGCTCCGGCAGAGAAGACACGTGGCGGCGGCGGCGGTCGGCCCCATGCGGGTCCCTTTGTGGAACCCACCGCCGTCCTCCAGGACACACCGCCGTCCGCGGACGGGCGTGGGAGTCCTCACCCTCCTTGGTGGTGGCACAGACCTCTGCAGTCCCTCCGGGAATGGGATGTTGCTTTTGGTCTATGATGTTGTAAGTGGAAACTGCGGCGTGTGGTGGTCTTAGGTGGAGGTGCTTTGAGTGCCTTTCCCATGTGATACCCTCACTCCGCAGGTCAGGGAACACGGTGGGGATTCTGGCAGCCGCTGAGTATGTGCATTCCGGAGCCGGCGAGTACCCACAGGATGGGTTTGCTCACCTGCCCCATAAGCCCCTCTGTGCCTGGCGGGCCTTGGTGATGTTTTGGGTCTTCTGGTGTTACTGTCAGTTGAGAGCCGGTGTCCAGTGGTCACTGAAGAGTCTGCTGACGTCCTTTTCCTCGGCGCACAGCTGCCCCGGTAGAAGGCTGCAGGCCCCTTTTGGAGGCTGGGGGCGAGATGAACAGGGTGAGGGTCTGGTTCGTGGAGCAGAGTCTTCCCTCCAGGGGGCCTCTGCTCCCACCCGTCCTGCAAGGGGCTCTGGTCTGTGACATGGAGGTTCCGAGTGTGGAAACTGGTGGAGGGGCTGTGACTATTTTGGCGATTCAGTAGTAGAACTTTCCTGCTGGTGCAGGTCCCTGGATGCTGGTGGAAGGCCCATCTCGTCCAGCTCTAGGAACACTGCCAGCGGCTAACCAATGCCCCAGGCCTCGTGGGCCACTTTCTTCTGATCAGTGCTCTGTGGTGACCACATCCCCTTCTCTTTGGCACTTAAGTGCCCCCACTTGGCCCCTGCCTCCCCAAGGCACCATCATCCTGGTGCACTCAGGGGTCCCAGATGAATGGAAGCAGCTCCCAGTGTATTCCTGACACATGCGGGCATCCCTGTGAGCTCTCCGAGGATGCTGGGACCCGTGAACTTATTTCTCGTGCTCTCTGGGCCCTCCTGGGGTCATTGGCAGGTCGATTGTGCTGGTCTCTCTAAGACTTTGGGCACATGCCTCTGTCATGTAGAAAGGGAGTTCTGGTGTTTCCACTTCACTTCAGTAGGGACCTTGTGTCCCAATTTATGTCAACCAGCGGTGGAGACTGCTGGAGCCATTGGCTGGAGAATCTGTGCTTAGGGGCCCATATCAATAAACTCCGCCTGGTCCAATTTCTGTTCATTCCGCCTTGACCTCACATCCTGAAGATCCATCCCCACATGTGTTTCTGTTGCTACAAATTGGCAACATCATGCAGTTCTTTCATGTGCTTTGTACTCGCTCTGTGGCCACGCCTCACCCTCCGGGCCTGCTGGGACTGCTGTCCGGATGCGGGTTGAGATGCACAGAGAGGTACAGGGTTAGCAGGGCAGCAAGGCCACCACCGGGGGGACGTTCCAGGTTCCTCAGGAGAGGGAGGGGTGCTTCTCCAGGCAGAGCAGTTTTGAGGGTTCATTGTCCCAGCTTGGTTAGGATGTGTCCTTGTATCCCCGTCCCAGTCCCAGCGCCTGTTCCCAGCACTGTGACAGAAGGCCGTGAAGCTGGGGATCCAGTGTGTATCGCGGTTCGGTCTCACAGGGTCAGAATGTGAGATCATTTCAGTCATTTCAAAGGGAGTTCAAGACATATGGAGAGCACTTCATGGAGGAGGCGAAACATAGAGGAAAATAAGTTGTGTTTTTTTTGCGGTACGCGGGCCTCTCACTGCTGTGGCCTCTCCCGTTGCGGAGCACAGGCTCCAGACGCGCAGGCTCGGCGGCCATGGCTCACGGGCCCAGCCGCTCCACGGCATGTGGGATCTTCCCGGACCGGGGCACGAACCCGCGTCCCCTGCATCGGCAGGCGGACTCTCGACCACTGCGCCACCAGGGAAGCCCAGTTTTCAAATTAATAGATTTCATGGTTTTGAGCAGTTTTACATTTGCAGAAAGGTTAAGCAGAAGGAGTAGAGGGTTTGCATACACTACTCCCCCGCTTCAGAAGGCTTTCTCGATTATCAACGTTTGGCTTTGGGGTGGTACACTGACTGCAATTGATGGGTCAATACTGATACACTGTTATCAACTAACATCCATAGTTTACATCAGGGTTAACTTTTTGTTTTGTACATTCTGCGGGTTTTGACCAACGTGTAATGTCATGCATCTACCATGATGGGATTGCATAGAGTAGTTTCACTGCCCTCAAAAGCTTCCGCGCCCCACCTGTTCATCCCTCCCTTCCCGCCAATCCTTGGCAACCACTCATCTTTTAACTTCCTTTTCCAGAATGTCATATAGTTGGGATCATACAGTATGTACCCTTTTCAGATTGGCTTCTTTCACTTAGTAATATGCTTTGAAGTTTCTTCCATGACTTTTCATGGCTTGACAGCTTGTTTCTTTTTAGCGCTGAATAATATGCCATTGTCTGAGTGGACCAATTTATTTATCAGTTGACTTACTGAAAGACATCTTTGTTGCTTCCAAGTGTTGGCAATTATGAATAAGCTTCTATAAACGTCTGTGTGCAGGGTTGTGTGGACATGAGTTTTCGGCTCCTTTGGGTAAATACCAAGGAGTGTGATTGCTGGGTCGTTTGGTGAGAGCACGTTTAGTTTTATGATTAACTGCCTGCCTGTCTCCTGGCAGCGGGTATGGAGGGGAGGGGAGTTACTAAACCTCTTTGAGGGGCATTTTCTTCGTCTGGTAAATGTGGATGATCAAACAGGGCTGTTGTGAAGGTCAAACGCTGAAATCAAGTAAAATATTTTAAACCCTTTTATAAACGTAAGTATTTCCAAGTGTTAAATATTATTTATTTGATACTCTGTTTCCAATTTATGGAGCTGTCACACAGATCATACCCACCTTTTTTTTTCCCAGTGCAATTATTGCAAAGTTTCTGCTAAGTTGGTTAGCTCTGTGCATCAGTTCAAATGCCAGAAAAACAGCCATTTTCCAAGGGATGAGGATATGTTCTATTGCTTTCCTTAGAACAGTGGTGAGGATGATGATGATAACACAGGTCCGCTCACTGACCGACGAGCACGGCTGTGCCCTATGGGAGCCAGTCTGGAGGTCCCCTGTGATCACGATGCGAGGGGACAGGCGGGAAGGACATTCGGGGCCTGGAGCCACATTCCTGTCCTTCCTGAGCCCAACTCAGTCCCTCCCCGGAACACCTGGTCCCTCCTGGGAACACCCTATTTTTAAGCTGATTCCCCCGGCCAGTCCTGACCAGGTTGCACTCGGTGTCTCGGGAGCCCTGTGGTGCCTCTCACAGAAGCTGGAGGAGTTCTTTTGGGCCTGGCATCCTGGTTGGGGGTGGTGTTTTGGCTTCTGCTGCTGGTGGCTCTTTGCGGCTGGGCCACTAGAGGGCGCGTCCGAGTGGCTGGACAGGCCCTTGGCGTTGCGCTCTGTTACTTTGTACCTGGCAGCACGTTGCATTTCCTTCTGTCTTAGCGGCAGTGGAGGACTTGCCCTAGTAATCCCGGAGGTGTAGGCGTGAAATAAGGTTTTGTAGGCTAGGTTGAAAAGAAGCATCATGGGGACATTTGTGCTCTCTTCTTTTTAAGATTTTTAGGAATTTCATGTAATGTCTGAAACATTTATATTAACATATGTCCATACAAATAACCCAAAGAAAGTTTAGTATTGGCTGTTTTTTTAAAAATTTTTAAATTTTATTTTATTTATTTTTTTTATACAGCAGGTTCTTATTAGTCATCCATTTTATACACATCAGTGTATACATGTCAATCCCAATCTCCCAGTTCATCACACCACCATCCCCACCCCCGCTGCGGCTTTCCCCCTGTGGTGTCCATACGTTTGTTCTCTACATCTGTGTCTCAACTTTTGCCCTGCAAACCGGTTCATCTGTACCATTTTTCTAGTTCCACATACATGCGTTAATATACGATATTTGTTTTTCTCTTTCTGACTTGCTGCACTCTGTATGACAGTCTCTAGATCCATCCACATCTCAACAAATGACTCATTTTTTTCCTTTTTATGGCTGAGTAATATTGCATTGTATATATGTACCACAACTTCTTTATCCATTCGTCTGTCGATGGGCATTTAGGTTGCTTCCATGACCTGCCTATTGTAAATAGTGCTGCAATGAACATTGGGGTGCATGTGTCTTTCTGAATTATGGTTTTCTCTGGGTATATGCCCAGTAGTGGGATTTCTGGATCATATGGTAATTCTATTTT